CCTGGCAGCCTCAGAGCAGCTGGGGGGAGGGGGCCGGGCCGGTCCAGGTTGGGGTAGGGTGGTTCTGGGGGGTTAGTCCTGGTTTCCAGTAGGGGTTGGGTGCTTGGGGCCCAGGCTGGGTGCCCCCCCGCCGCAAACCCTGGTTACCGGGCCCAGCCTGCGGGGAACCTAGTCGGTCAGGGTGGGGCCTTCGGGGTGGGTGGGGAGGGCTGGGGGAGGGGCTGTGCTAGGCTGGCCCTCATGCACTGCGGAGGGTTGTAGAGAAGAGGCAGGTGCGGAGGAGGCTTGGGGGGCGGGGCACTGGAGGGGGACCCCATGAGTGGCTTGGGTTTGGTGTCACGGGTCTTGGGGCGCGATGCCGGACAAGTGGGGAGGTTATGAGGCTGGCGTGACCCTGGGGTCTGGGGGCTGCTCCAGGCTGCCAGAGATCCCCATGCCCATCACCCACAGCTTGGCGCCCAGGACCACACCTGGTGACCTTGGTCCCTGAGGTGCCTGCCTTGTGGGCCTCTTTGGAACAGACCATGTGGAGTGAGGGATAAAGGTGTTTGGCCCCTCGGTGCCTTGGATCCCACCCTGCGGTGCGATGGGGTCCTTTACACTGGGACCTGTGTCCCCCATGCTTGGAGAGCCATCCTGGGTAGCAGATGGGAAGGGTGGAGAGCTGAGGAGGGGGGCCGGGGAGGGGGGCAAGCTGCAGGGTGGGCGGGGGGTGGGCCGGGGCAGTGACGTCGGAGGAAAGGGGCCTCATAAGCCACAGCCTCCCTGTGGATGCAGCAGGACCAGGGTAGACGGGAGTGCGCGGGACGGAGGGACGCTGCTCTGGGACTGGAGCAGGTTGGTGACTCGTCTCAGGGCCAGGTGGACAGGGAGGGGCCACCAGGGGATGCACCCAGGTCTGTGATCTGAGGATGACCTTGCCCTTCCAGACAGAGTGGGGGCGGGCTCAGCAGGACCGGATGCACAGTGTTGGGCTGGGGAGGGGGTCTGGCCCCCCAGGGTCACAGGGGTGGAGGAGGGAAGGCGCTGCGGAGGAGTCCTGTTCACAGCCTTGAATTCTGTGCGGAGGGGAGGGGCCTGGCTTGGGACCTGGGGTGCCCGGATAACCTGTGCATCATCCCCTAGCCCATCTGCAGCCCCGAGGACCCCCTTGAGCTCCACTGCCCTGGGTGTGTCTGGGCCGGGGCTGGCCGGAGGCCTGAGATCCTGCACTACGTTCCCCTCTGCTCTGTCAGCAGAGGCCCAGAGGCAGCCCCCCAGGACCCAACCCCACCTTTGGGGCTCCCCCCGCCTCACTGAGAGGCCAGCTCTGGAGCCAGGGGGCTGGTTGTCCTGGGTGGCCGGTCCTCAGCCAGGACACGCCCCTCCTGGGGCCAGCAGGGGGAGCGGCACAGCTGGGGTCCTGCTCCAGCAGGGGTCCCGGTCCCAGCTCTGATGCCGCTCAGGGCTGTGGGCAGGGCCGCCCCCCACCTGGCCTTGGTTTCCTCCCCAGACCC